AAAATATATGAAATTAAACCAAAAAGTCGATATAATCGAATTGTATCTCTGGTTCATAATATAAGATTATTATAATAGAAGATATTTTTTTAATATGCAATATATTTTCAAAATTCTATCTCTATTCTCTCTTAAAAATTTTCTCTTTTGATAAATTCACCTAGAAAATGAATAGTTAGTATCTAAAAAAGAAAAGTAAAGAAGGATATAGGTCACTGCAATGCAAGGTATCACATGGAAAGAATGGTTTTGCTAAATTATCTAAAAATTTAATTACATAAAAAATAATTTTATTGTCAAAATATTGTCAAAATAATTATTTAAAATGCTCAAACTGATTACTAGAACGTCAAAATTTTTAGCACTGCTCGTTATACTTGTTAGGTTTCTATTTAATTATTTTGAATATGGTTCAACAAAATTATTTTCAGATGTGCATCTAGCTAAATTTTTACTTCAAGTAAAATCGTTCTTCTTGTGCACATACCTATATGGAGCGATCAGTAGTCATCAATATCCTGATCAGCATAGACATTTGTACAATTGTATATCTAATCGTTTTTTAACGAATTAATAATATCGCGCTCCTGTCTCATTAATATCACATTTCTCGTCAGATTTCTGATAATTAATAATAATAATAATAATAACAATAATAATAATAATAACAATAATGTTCTAGAGATTTAACAGTGCAAAAAAGACAGTAATTGGCCGCAGTGGAGGCAAATTCTGCCTCTGCCGTCGCGTATTATATCTCGATCCAATAAAATTTTTAAAAAGTAATTAAAGAGTGAAAAAGAAGAAGAAGAAATGATCCAGGAAAGTGATGTAAGAGGCGGTGCGTAGGAAAGTAATCTAAGTCTGCGGTAATAGTGTGGCACGCATCGCTGACTAAACGCACCTTAACAGTGAGAGGGGTCGCAGCTAAGAGGCATTTTTTACGACGAGTCGAAACCGGTATATCGAAGTGGCAGTTAAGGACTGTCTCTCTCCATATTAAAACGTGTTATAATCCTATTTGCGAAACGCGAATAAAATTGGCAAGGACCTTCGGGATTGCTCCATATATCACACAGCCCGCGCTTAACGTAATGAGGAGATGTTGTCGCGAGGCGGTCTCGTGAGAGATTGACTATCTGTGTTGTAATCAAAATCAGTTATGTTCTTTGACTAACTTAACTTCCGTCTGCCGTTATATATAGGTACAGGGTGTTTTAGACGTATCACACCTTTACTTGCTAATGACAGATTTTTGAAGTCATTTAAACGAAAATTTTAATACCAAAATATTGAGGTTACAATTTTAATTATATAGCACGCATAATCAATATTAATTAAATAAATAAAAAAAGTTACGAAAATATAAATTAACAAAAATGGACGCAAAATAATAATATTTAAACATTAATATCGATCTAAGGGCAACTTCATTATGAAATAAACCCTAAAATTATTGAATAATTTTGAACAATCCGATTGACCATTTTTATACGCTTTTCATTTGAAAACTATTGTAGTCTCACATTTTGGTATTACAATTTTCGTCTCTAAATAATTTCAAGAGTCAGCTATTAGTGATAGAGCTGAGACACCCTGTGTATATATAATATATATATATATATATATATATAATATATATATAAATAATATATATATATGGCTCTCGCGTATATATAGAAGCAACAATAATGGAACAGAGTTTGTAGTCAAACTTGCAGCGGGACGATGTCGGAACTGACCTGGATTGCAATTAAGGCCGAAAGAGTTATCGAAATCGTTTTGAAACTTTTGCCTATTTGTTACTTCTTCTATCGAAAGAAAGAAAATGCGGTAGCTTTCAGCGAGGAGCTTTCACAAATCCTCTCTCTGAATCGGAGAGACAATTGTAGACATACATATACACCTTGTAAATGCGGATACGCCTCGCAACACCGTGGACACGTAAAAAACATCTTTCGCGGCACTCACTCACGTATAATAGCGTAAGAGACCAGAGTCCGAAGTTATCCATCTCGATAATGCGCACGGATAGAGATCCTTCCGTTTAAAAGAACCCGCTTGATTTAATTGGCACTTACTATCGTCGAATCACTCATCGTGATGCGTCTTCCCATTCACTCGCGCGGGAATTCTGTTCGACGACATTCACCTTGCATCTCTCCTAGAGGCAAACTAGGGAATCGTGCCGCGATTCCTTCCGCAAGCGACACACCGGAGGCGACCCTTCTCGCAAATTCATTCAAAGTCACGGAGAGTTGACAGTTCCCTGAGGAAAGCGGGATTACAGCGAAAAAAAGAGAAAGACGCGGTTGTACCTGCGCGGTGCACGCAATTACATCGACTGAACGCTTAGGAGGTACCTTCGGGACTTTCTCGCGAGCAACCTTTAGCTCGGCCGTCGCCGCGCGCCACGCTGTTCCGTCTACATTCTCATTTTTTCTTCCTTTCCTCTCACTCCCGCCAATTCATTCCTCAATCAAAGTGTAACTTCGGGGGATTTCGAACCGGTTGCGCTCTATCGGTTATTTAATCAAATCTTTCTCGCTATTTATTGATTATCCGCTCCGTGTGCTCCGGCATATTCTTACGTTGCGCTCCACTCGTCTGGTTTTCATTTCATGGTACGCTCCAGCATGCAAATTGTTCAATGGCCTTCTTCGATATATGTTATTCCCCGATAACCGATTGTTGAGAAGCGATCGCTCGGAAAGACGCGAAACGGAAACGACGTTCACTAAAAAGCGAGGGGTCAATCACTACTAAAAAAATGTACAGTGATTGTCAATTATGGCAATACAACACATTTTATTGCTAGTATTGCTATTGTATTGCTTTCGTATTGTCAATATTGCTATCTATTATCTCATGTACTGCCTATTGCACAATATTGCCAAGTGCAAATGGATTGCTAGGTAATGCTCGAGGTATATTGCTATGTATTGATAGCGTATTGCTAGTATTGTATTGCCGCAATACTGGCAATATATTCCTTAAAAAATATACACTGATTCCCATAGTAGTTGACCCTTCGCTAAAAAGCCTCACTTTGACATAACAATCAATTTCGAGAATAGGAGTCGACTCGATCGCCATAGTCGATCAAGGATTCAATTAGCACTATTAGCAGCAGTCGACGACTCGGAATGTTTCGAATATGAGACGCGGTCTGCGAGACCTTTCGCCTCAGCTAAAGAAAATCCCGGCAAACATAGAAAAGATAGAAGAAAAGAAACGGGAGACGGCTTACCACGCGGTTCGCACGATGTACATTCAACGATGAGTCAAGGATGCTCTCGTGAAAAGAAAGGCCGGCTGCATTTCATGATGCGCACTCCCGCGTATTGCAACGTCAGAGGTAGTTAAGATTTAGCTCTCGGCTGCATTCATTTGCTAACTGTAGCGCGCACCTCGTCGCGCACCGTTCTCAAGCAAACTTGTTAATTGCGTGCTCGACCTACTCGACTTCATATAATGGAGTCGCGTCACGTCTGATATCGCGGCGAGCAAATTAAAGCGGCAGGATCCGAAGGATGAAAGATGAAGCCCGCGCGCGCTGTAACGGGCTATACAAAACGAGACGGGATATCGAAAGAGGGAAGCGCGAGAGACCTGAGATGCCTGTCACAGGAATAAAGAAATAACGAGTGTAGGGTAAAGTGCAGAGACGTTGAGTCCGTGGCTATTCAAATCCACTTGTTAAAATCTCTCGATGCAGCTTTGAAATCTCGTACGTAACGTGCGCGTTATTATATGCAACCAAGATCGTTCGGCTCCAGATTCATGAAATTTTCGACAACGGTACGCTGCCGCATCTTGTCCTATGCGGGAATTTCGAGTAGTATAAATTAAGACGTGGAAGTTGAGCCCGTCACGTCAGAGAAGCGCCAAGGATATCGAATATTGCATGCATAAATGCAAGGCCTATCCGGCGTGGAAACAACGCGGAGGCCGGGCGCCGGGCGGTGCTAAGTACATCGCGAATGACTGGATATAGACTTGGATGTAGTCGCGAGGATCCTTCTCGGCGAATCGTCCGTTCGCCAAGTGGACGAAATGATCACAATTTAAGCGGAGTATATTATACAACACTGCAGGGGGTGAAACTTTATTTCAGGCAATTTATCGAGAAAACGCCCTGAGCGATTACTACTCCCCCGGCCGAAGTTGGAATAATTGTTAACTGGATAGTGGTCGTTACGTAACACCATTAAGTTCAGCAGAATTCTACCGGGAAAGATGAAAAATAAAATAAAATAAATAAATAAATACGACGAGCGACGAAACGACTGGCGAGAAGCGTACGCGCGTGAAAATGCTTGTTTAGCAAAATTAATTAATTGGATTAATTCGCCTGATGCTCCGCGGCGCGTCGCGGAAATAAATTTGACTGAATCGGGATTAAATTTATATATTTTTCGATATACGCGTACGATGCACAGGCGCGGTGTGCGGTGCCCTGAAAGTATTAAGCGCATTTCAATATTACGAATTTGCAATTAAAATATCTAAAATTCAATTTGCCGTTAAGTAGGTCGACGGTGGTTCGAAGACGATCGCAAGTTCCTCGCCGTGGTTCGCTCGAAACTTTAACGTGAATGAATGATGGAGTCGGCACACTCGAGAAAGATAAACCCTCTATGGAAAGAAGATGCTGTCAAAAATATCATACATTCGGGAGACGACAGAACCGTTTTAATGACTTAAATTTAAAACACCGTTAATATTCGTGGATTATACGGGCCGTAAGGCGGAGAGATATGTGGGCACCTATTTTACGCGATCGCTCAATGGCACGTATCGATTTTTAATAAAAGGCTATCTAATAATAAGTTTTCCTCGTAAAAACTGTCATCTGCGTCACTTGCCCCTGGGTAGAATGTCATATTCGCGAATAAGAATTACGCAAAGTATGAAACGAGAACTGTGCTCTAATATATCTTTCGGCCGTCTCTCTCTCTCTCTCTCTCTCTCTCTGTGAGCGTCATATATCTCATCGGCGACAACTCTATTTCCTCAAGCTCGCATTTGCCCTTGATCCAAGTAATGAGCTTTACAATCAGATTAATCCACGTCGGGAAAGAGTTCGGAAAGAGATTTCTTTTTCCCGTTCTCAAATTCCATTTTCCGTCAAATGGAAATGCGTTCATTACGTGAAATCGCGACGATGCGAAATTTCAATTACCGACACGCGATATCGGGAGCATTATTGGGCGAAATCGGAGGGGAGCTGTCTTGCCCGGAGCGATAAAGGAATTGGAACGCTCGCTCTGGGGTTATTGAGAAAGAATGACACTTGACCGAGAGACGATTTTACGGCGATACGATTTCGAAGTTTCGGATTCGCCGAGTTCGAAAAGTCAGGATGTTTCAACGGTACAGAAAAATGTCATGCTTCCGCTGTCTAAGGGAAAAGTTTTCGCGACAGATGCCAGAGAGGCTCCTACATCACGACGGATACCGTTTTGTTTACAGCAAAGCTCCGTTTCATTGTTTTTCGTCTCGTCCTCGCGAAGAAAGATTGACGACAAAGGCTTTCAAAAGCGAAAACGCGCACACGTACACGAGTGTACATCCCCATCTCGGTAGACACGTTAACATGTAACTTACCAATCGTGCTTATTTTTGAAACGGAATCACTCAGATCTTATTCGACGACATTATTCTAAATACAGTTTCTCTTTTTCTTTTTTAATTTTTGATGAAGAAAACTCTATATAGTTCGAAACGTTCAATATATTTGCGAAATATGAGTATCTGCTATTTTTAAAATTTTAAATCTATGTACGTATATGCTTCTTTAATATATATGTATATATAAACATTGTGTGTGCTCATTTTGGCCTAGTCTTTTATTATTGCTAAATATAGTCCCTTATCTTCTTTCGTTAAAAATATAAGTTTCGTGAAAGCAATAGAAAAATTCGCGCTGCACTGGATATTGCCCCCTGCTCTTGGATATGTACTTTAAGCATTCCGTCTTTGGAAATGCATGAGCTTTCCCAGGTCAAGAGAAGTTGTAAGATTATAAGAAATCCGTACTCAGCACGGAAAAAATTGTTATGGATGTTGCAACAATAGTTTCTACGTTTAAAAAAGAAATATATTTCTTCAAGTTAAAAATATATGTAAATTTAAATTATATTGATATTATATTGAAATTTATACGGTTCTCGCAAACGTAGTTCTTATGATAAGTAATATTTAGTTAAAATATCTTCATATATGTGGTTGCCTCAATCGAAGTATTATTATCTTTCTAATGTGGTCTGCACAACAAATAGTATGATTGAGAGATATATAGAATATAGATATATAGAATATAGGTGCACGGTACAACATTGAGACTGAGAGTTCAATTAATTATATAAGTCATTTTCAAAGTATTTTAGTTCCTATAACCCTTTTGTATTGATGGATGAAAATTATCACAATTAAATTATGTTGTAGCAACAGTAATTTTTTTTCTGTAAGAAAATCAGTTGGGAAACAATTCATTTCTATCGTCCCTGCGTACTTATAGCACCACCGCGTTACGAGAAAAATAATATTTCCTTCATAGGGGAATTCACTGCTTAATCCACAATATGGATAATTTCGCAAATAGAATGAGTTTATAACGTGTCAATAAACGGAGGTATTCGATCTTGAAACAAGATAGACTCGTTATTACGCGCGTTACTAAATATTTAACGAGATAAAGCTACGATCAGTTAATTACACATTGCTGTTCACATGCACCATTGACCGCCCGCCCGGTCCGTTTTATGCGTTATTTCAATACGCTCGGGCAATATTTCTTCCGCGATAACCCGAACATTCATGTACATCGCCAGCGATTGTTTATATATTCCATTGGGACGTAATTAGCTTGTTCGTTGGCTGCATAAAACATGGTGCCAAGTTTTGTGTGTGTGACAAGTGTACCGTATATAACAACACTGAGTTGGTACATCAGCATAAAAAAAGTCCGATGCAAGTAAAAAAAAAAAAGATTTTCCATTTTTAATTCGGTAATTAACAAATTCATCATTAAACGACATTAATCTCGGAAATTCTCGCGGGATTGAACATCGAAACGAGAGAGGCCGCGCATCGATTCGGCAGTGGCCAATTAAATTCGGTTTTGCCGAAGACAAGGGACGGAAACGTATAAATGCGCATAAATGTAAAGTACGAACCAATTGTCGAGCGAGTCTGGGATTGGACGATCGGATTGTTATTCGCCTCGGCGTTTGTCGATTGTGAACGATGATCGGATGTGACGGTGGTTGTCGAAATGGTATTGTTAACGGTGCCGCTGGGCACGGATGACGATGTTGTCGAAGCCGACGTAGTTGTCGAGGACGAATTCGTAGCGTTAGTAGCTGGCTTCGAGGACCAAGAGCTGCAAGTGTCGCAGCCTTCGGCGGAGCGAGTCGATAATCGGCAGCAGGACCAACGTTTTCCGCTCCACAGACCCGCGTGGTAACGCCCGCTCAAGCCCGAATTTTCGCTGCACACTACAAATGAGCAGTCGCTCGCTAAATCGCTCTTAAGAATGATATATTGCGCCTTCAAATGACAGATTGCGCGCATGATCGAATGCCTTATATATTTTATTTTCGGTATTTCATATTGACCTAATGGATACAGCCGGTTCATTATAATGAACAATTTTACTGCAATTTATAATATACATATTTTAAAAGAGGGAATATTTAAGTCACGCATATTTTATCACAGTATGGTATCACAATAGATTTAGAGATAATTGTTGCAAATTGATATTGAAAATCATATCACATCTACGAATTTCATTTGAATATAAAAAACTTTTCCTATTTATGATAAAAATTGTTAATAAATTAGTTGAATCTTAATCGTAAAATATCAAAATGAATATAACGTGCATTCGCGAGGTTGATACGAATACCCGTTTGTCAGTGTCTCCGTTTAAAAGCGCGACGTATGCGCTAAATCTGAACTCCAACTGACAATGAGTAGCAGAGAATGTGAGGAAAAGAGGATAAAGGAAGACGCGGAAAGAGGAAGAGAAGAAAAAGGAAGAGAAGCAGGAAAGGAAAAAGAAAAAAAAAGAGGAAGAGACTTACCAGCGCGTATGGCACGTATCCATTCGGCGCGATCCTGCTCGCGTGCGGCGAGCAGGTAGAGCGTGTACTCTTGACCAGCTTCCCGATATCCCACCTGGAAAGGCAGTCCGGATGGTATTCCGCCACCTCCGCCGACGGCGTCGCCGCCGCCCGCCACGTCGCCGATGGCACCGCCTCCGCCACCGGTGCTACCATTTCCGAGGCTGGCCGTCTCCACCACGTGGACGCTTTCCACGGCGATCCGTCCGCGTTCCTTGCGGCGCTGCAACAAGCAACGATTTTCTGATTAGTATATTTGACAGTCAATTCGTTGAAAATCAAATCGCAAACCTCTGGAACCGGGCGCTACCGACAACTTTCACTAAGCTCAGAGCGGAGCTAAGAGAAGCAGTGTCTCAAGAACAATATGAACAATATGAATTATTGTACATAATGACATTATTTTTAGAATTAGGAATCTTGGATGTGAAAATGTGTCAAGCGTCGGAATTATTGTACATAATGACATTATTTTTAGAATTAGGAATCTTGAATGTGAAAATGTGTCAAGCGTTGGAACGATATCGAGATTGCTCGTTGCCAACGGACATTCTGATTGTACTTACAATTAGATACGATATAGTTTTACCACATGAATGTTGATTTCTAGCGACCAAATTGCAATAAAATATATTCGTACCATGTAATAGCAGTGAATTTGCCTTTGGAATATTGATATGATATAGCTACATTTCAGACGTGGTAGAGTAATTTGTGAACGCGCGAACGGCGTCAAGCGATTTTACTCGAGGGACATCAACGGAATTCATAAGGGTTCAACATGGATTTTCCATTTGATACGATTTGATGACGATAGACGATCTAATCAAACAAAAGCGAAAGAAGAGAACAGAGGAGAGAGGGTGGTATCCGAAAACTCGGCTTTGAAACTCTTTTTACCTCCACGTTGTACGGTAGATTTCGCGACGCGGTGAACAGGACGAGCCCGACGAAATCGATGTCACGGAGAAGGATTCGCACGTGGATCACTGCGCCAAGGTCCTCGAGATCGGTACGACGGATGAATGTGCGAGTGTCTAGAACAGAGACGACCCTCTCGGAGCGATAAAAAAAAAAGAATCAAGATCACAGCTGATCTTTGTCTACGCGCGACGTCGCACAGTTCTGAGACCCGATTGGTATATAGCTATTGTAGCTTGGCTCAATTCCGCGGCTCAGGACTCAGATTGAACAGGATCAGAGTTCGTCGCGGGAGAACGGTTGAATTACGCTGTGGACCAGACCGCGTGTCGCCACCCTCCTTCCAGGGTGTCCTCGAGAGAGAGAGAGAGAGAGAGCGAGAAAAAGAGACCAGAGATTAAAGCGTCATAGACTCGTCCGAGGGATCGTCAACTCGCGGAAGGATACCGAGCGCCAAAACGGAACCGAAAGATCAACGTAGTTGTACGTTCGTCGTACTTCGTCGGGACCGACCTCGAACGACGGCCACTGACTGAGCAGCATCAGGAACCTAACGAAGGAACGGAAGGAAGGAGGTGGAGGAAGAGGAGGAGGAACGAGAAGTAGGAAGGAAAATTCGCGCGGGGCGCCTGCGCCACTAATTTCACACACGGTATCACGGTGCATGTTATCCGCCACCCCCCTACCGAAAGCGTCCTAGTCCACCTAACGGCTCGCTTAACAACGGAGATAGCTATTGATGCTAGTCGCGATCACACGCGGTTACCGAGCCGATAGTCACCACTCTGCCCGTCGTCGCGAGATTGAAGGGAGCTACGCGACACAAAGAGATCAATTTCCTCCTCCCCTTCCGAATGTTCTTGTTTGATAAAAACAACATCGGGCGTGCTACATACAATCGTGTCGCCCAATTCAATCATAATCATTATAATGTCACTGGTTTAATAGCTATGTATTGCAAAATTACAGGATGGTTTTTATCCTATTTTTTAAGAATTTAAAATTATATATGCAGCAAATACAAATAAACACAAGCAATATTACAGCAATATTGTAACATCTCTGTAATATAGCTCTCTGGAATGTTATAATATTATATTACTGCAACATTGCAGTTATAATCTGTGTTTGCTGCATGGCGCGCGCGCGCGCGCGCGCGCGCGCGCGTGTGTGTGTGTGTGTGTGTGTGTGTGTGTGTGTGTGTGTGTGTGTGTGTAAAACATTAGAGAGAGAAAGAGATATGCTTTTGAAAGCTTCTCTCTTTACATTTACATAAAATTTACATACACAAAAATAATATTAATTAGTTTTTTATTTTATATCTCTTTCTCTCTCTCTCTCTCTCTCTCTCTCTCTGATGCTTCATGGAAATACAATTGCTTACCCATAAACATAGCAATATTTAAAATTTCTAGATTTAGTTACTCGTTTACACACACACACACACACACACACATACACACACACCGCGCGCACACGCACACACCGCGCGCACACGCACACACCGCGCATACGCTCACACTCACACACACGCATATACACACACACACACACACACACACACACACACACACACAAAATTTCTATTTATAATAATAATACAATTCCTTTCAATTTCTTTTAGTAAAATAAAAATTTTGCAAGAATGTAGGTATACGTATCATTGAAAATAAATCGACTAAAATTCGATCAGCTGTCGTTGGTGAATCGCATAAACATCTTGTTTGCAAATGACGAACAAGCCATTCGCGGACGCACATCAAGTTTGAATCTTGATTTTGTAGATTTGTAGAAAGGTACAATTCGAATAAAATTATTTATACTCCAGAATTACTCACCTCACCATCTCCGTCGTAGTAGATGAGATAGTGTTTGGTCAGCACGAACCATCGCTGCTTATAATTGACCGGGGTAAAACGTTTCTTGTTCTGGGAACGTTTTATCATGAATCCCTGCCGAATAACGTCTCCACCTTTTGACTCTAGCTTCCCATCTTTCCCTGCCATCACAGGAGGGCCTCCCTAGCAACAATGAAACCATCATTCTCCCGCACGACAACGGAGGCCGATCGGAGGGAGCGTCGATACTCCATCGCGCGTTCCCGGTTACGAGGGGGGAAGAGGGGAGGGGCTAGAATTGATACTTGTTGCACAACATCCTAATTCGACACTTTTCTCAACAGAGTGACACAAAAAGTTACATTCCAGGTCTTTTTCTGTCCCTCTCTCTCTCTCTTTCCTTTCCTTCCTCCCTCCCTCCCTCCCTCCCTCTCACTGCAATCCGGCTTATCCGGTCTGCCCGAGATAAGTAAAGGACGCGAAAGAAATTTCTAAATATAGCACACCGGGGTCTTTTTCCTCGTCCCATAACCCACCCATAACAACGTCGCCGTCGCCGTTGCGTGTTGCGAACTCGACGACGCGCGGAGTCACGTGTTCGTCGAGTGCCGATCAAACGCGTGAGAGCGATTTTTTTGTCGTCGCCGTCGCGGAACCGATTCCGCGTTTCCAGGCGGAGGCGGGGCGAGGCGAGGTTGAAGAGGCGCGCAGGCGGTTTTCGGAGGCGCGACGGCGGCGGCGGCGACGGCGACGGCGATGCAAGGGCGGGTTAATCGCGACGACGTTTTCGGCAATTCGAATTCCACAGCGGCTATCGCACGACGGCGCGCGGGCGGCTCCGGCGATATCTCGGCGATCGCGCTCATCGCGTACACTTGGCAGTCTCGCCGGCGCCGGCGGACGGCACCGCGCCTCTTACCATGCGACAAACGTGCGGCTATCACCCCGCGGTCGTCCCGGCGGCGGCGCACGTCGGATGCATGACCGCCGGCGCCCAAACAAAGAGTTCACGTGGAACGGGCGCCGCGTACGCGCACACCGGACCAATCTGTCAAAACGGGAGGACGTCTCGCGGCGACGTCGGGGAATTCGCGAGATATCAGGAAATGCCGCACCGCGCTAGTCAATGCGGCGGCGGCGGCGGGCGGCGGCGGCGGCGGCTCGCTCTGCCGTAATGCGCGCGCGCGCGCGACACGGACGCGACGCGTCAGTCACGCGAGCGTCGCGTGAATATCGAAGGGGAAATAGTGAAGGAGAGCAAAGCACCGGGAACTCTCGGGTCCTGCGAGGGAAACCTCGCGCCGGGACGCTTCTCGATCCGCGTAGGAATGAGACCGGTGACGAGACGTCGAGCAAGATGGCGGATCGAGACCGCGTGACCGCCCTGTCGTACCTGTTGTTTTGCTTTGCACGCTGACCGTTTATCCGCCGTGTAGTCACACGTGCCGCGCGCGGGAGATTCTCGCGAGTGTGCGACGCCGCGAATTCCGCGTGAATGCGGAAGGAAAGTGGACTCCGTTTCCTCCGCGCGGGAAAGCGAGATCTCGAAGAGGAACGCGCGACATAACCTGTCTTTCGTTTTGACAGGTTCTTGACTTCGTCGTCGATGAGCTCATCGTCGATGAGCAGCTGAGTTATCGTCGTTTCGCTGCTCAACATTCGTTCGTCCACGTCCAAGCATGACGGCCCCCGAAGCGATACAGGTCAGCTCCCTGCCGTTGCCGCCCGTCCAGTACATCAGCTTGTACACGGATGAGAATGTCAGGCGTGGACGGGCCCCGCGGCCGCCACCGCCGATGCACGACAACTACTCCATGTTCGGCAACGTGTTCAACGCCGACGACACGATTATCAGACCGCTCGAGGCCCAGGGCATCAAGAGACTGTATCCGCAGCATTTCGATCGCCGGCGCGAGTTGAAGAAGCTCAATCACTCGCTGCTCGTCAACTTCCTGGATCTGATAGACCTGCTCGTTCAGTGCCCCGATAGCCCAAGACGCGCGGAGAAAGTACGTGTCTGCTGTATTCCTAAAATTTGAACGAAGCTTCCACGTCGAGCCTTATTATGTATTTAATATTTTGTAATTTAAACGTTTGTCGTGTTCGCGACTCCCGCACACGAATGTTATCTGTTATTATAAGAGAGCATTCACAACCAGAAATACTGCTTTTTGATCTTCTGTCATTCTATTGATTCACATAATACTTATTAACGAAAAAGATAATATTAATTTTTCTTCATTTTTTTAATCTCCCTTCGAGATCTCTTTTGTAGAATTACGAAAGTAGAATATATTGGCATATACCAGTGCAACTTCTAATCTAACAAATTCTAACAAAATCTTTTCCACTCTATTCTATTCCTAATGTTTCCTCACGTAAAAAAAGTCAATGAATGTGTGTATAGAGTAGGGCTGTTATTTTTTACTTACTTCAAAAGAATGAAGCTTCAAAGTTAACTTCAACCCTTCAAAGTTTAAGGTGCTTTCGAAGCTTCCAAGTTTGAGAATAAATTTATTTATTTATTTTTTAAATTTTCTTAAATGTTTTATTGATCATTATCTTTTCTTATTTACATATGTATCAAGTTTAATTATTAATTTGTAATATTTCAAGTTATACTTTCAAACTTTTTAGGAATAATTTTGTACATTTTGAGGATATATATTTTGAGGATAATTCTTTTTATTTACAATATTTGTAAATTTTCTAAATAAATTTATCATTTGCACAAATGTGTTTTCCGAAACTTCAAAGTTAATTTTAAATTTCGAAGCTTTGAAAGAAGATTGTAATGTCGAAGCTTCCAAGTTCGAATGTCGAAGCCTTTGAAGCAAATCACCAGCCCTAGTGTAGAGCAATTCAGCCAATCGTAGAGATAACTCTATGAACATTTTATGATCAGTTGAATTGTTCTGTACACTCATTAACTAATTATTATGTTACGTCTTGCGATTACGGAAATTTTCGTTTGTGGGAGCGCTCAAGCTGGTCGAGTTGCTATCCCACTCGACGTAGGAGTAAGCTAGCTGCTTTGATTAATTTTGGCGTGAACACACTCATAAGTATGAAGATGCTAACATCACATGTTATACTTTGTAATTATTCAATTGGAGTTATACTTTATGATAGAATAATCGACATTCTTACAGGTTGAGGATCTTAGTCTGTTATTCATTCACATTCATCATCTGTTAAATGAATTTCGACCTCACCAAGCCAGAGAAACGTTGCGAGTTATGATGGAACTGCAGCGTAGGCAACGTCACGAAACAGCGCTGCGTTTTCAGAAACACCTCGAAAAGGTATATCTCTTATATTGGATGTTTCAATTTTCGAACCTTCATAATGTTTATATGTACTTTGTTGATTTTCACGATTAAAGTTAATGTCGAACGTAGTCAATGTTAAAATGGATGTTTTCCAGGTTCAAGAGATACTGCAGCATGCCTTACAGATGCTTCCCGATACCTCGGAACTGGACTCCAAACTTGCGATAAACACAGATGCTATGGAATCTATAGATAACTTGGGCTTCGAACAACAAACGCAGGATCCTTGTAGTCCAAGCGATCGTATTATGTGCAAAGTGATAGACGATATGCTCTCCTCGAATGGACTGTTCTGAAGTATCGCTCTCTAATCTCGAGTGTGCGAATTAATTTGTCGATGAATATTCTTAAGTAATTGCATATGTAAATCATGATAGTGAATAATGATAAAATGTGATGTTTTTTAATTGTTATTAATTATTTATATTATTAATAAAATGACAAGATAAAAAAAAATCCATTAGATGAAAGACTACTGCTGGTAATGTTGTGTCTAGAACACACTTTATCATTCATCTAAAAATAGTATTCTCCAAATAGAAAGATTCTAATTGTTTTAAAATTTGTTTTATTTTTTATACATTAATAAAATACATAAGTTTGGTGAATTCTACATATAATTCAGATATATCACTTGTATATTTTAGTAAAATTGAGATTGTATACATGTGATTGTGCACACATCTAAGCGCGTTTAATATCAATACTAGACTGATTCTTATATAGACATAGATACATGTCTATTTTAGATTAATGCGATATAAAAGTTTAAATGTAGGATAGATTAAAGTAAATATACAGACACGCGCGCGCGCATGTGCGCGTAAAATTTACCTGTTTGTTTTGGAATCAATTGTTTTTATTGAACCATTTTTTTTTATGACTCTCTCTTTAGTCTTTACGCACGCATGCTTCTTACATTTATTGGGTAAAAAAACACCATAAAATATTAAATAATGTTATTTATTGAAATAATTAGAAACATAATTAGAAACACGAGTTTTTATAGATAACACGACATCCTTCTACATGATAATGATGGATAGAGGGAAAGGAAAGATGGAAAAATATTTTTTTACACTCACCTCACAAACAGCAATCATATGAAGGATATACATATGATATATACATATATGATAATAATATAATATCCAGTAGAATTTCCTGGAAGGAAAATATTAATTAGTTTCTCCAAGTAGCCTCTGCTTCTGCATTCGTTTTTGAAAAGATTCTGTAATGGGAAAAAAAAGTATAAGTATTTATATACGCTGGGGTCAAGTCCTCCCAATTTCAAAGTCTTTCGTTGTGCTTCCTGCAAAAGAAAAACAGTATAATAGTTGCTACTTCAATTGTTTTTCTTATTTATCGAAGAAACACAGAATCGTGAAATCATTTTTTTTACAATTTAACGTATTTATGTTGAAAATATGTACTTTAAAGGTTATAATTTCATAATATAAAAACATTTTTTGAGAAATATATAACATATAAACATTGTTAAATTTCATATATATGCAAATTGAAAAATACTCAAATTATACATTTGTATATAAATATATGTATGTCGCGAACGCGCGCGTGTGTGTGTATGTGTGTGTGAAGTCTATGTGTACACACACGCATCCATGTACATACATACATATTTCTCCTACTAATAGAAAATTATTTAATATATCTGGTGTTTCTTCGATTAAACTGCTTTTAAGCACAGCCGGTTTCGAATTCTCTCTGTTATGCACGTTTCGATCCTGTCAACAGATAAATATTTAAGAAATATGAATAAATATAAAGGTTTGGGACAGGAGGGAGGAAGGGAAGCTAAGTTATAGGAATGGATACACGAGATTGTATTTTTGCAATCTTGAAGTTTTTTTTTGACAAGGAGATCAACTGTTTTTGTTTCCGTAATCATGCTTCTGTAATCATGGTCGGTATATCGATGTTGTCTTGTGATTCAATTGCGTGATTTTGAGTTTCAATTTGGTAACAGTGTGACATTTTCATTTTTGCACACATATCTTCATCAGATTTTCTTCAATTTTCTCAAATGTCATCTTGACAAGTTTCATATCCTCGAAAAATATCTTCTTTCTTCGGTTTTTTTCTTTCATATGTAGTTTCAACATCTTCATGAAATTGAATCCGTTAATCAATAAGTATTTTCTCTTGATCGTTTCAATCCATTCATCATATATGTTGTATTGTTTACGTTTTATTCTCTCCATTTTACATTAAATGACTGAAATATATTTTTTGAATTTTATTGCAATTCATAGTATAAGAATTAAACAAGAAAACTATTTATATAATTCTGCAATCTTGCATTCTCCAAATTTTCTTCCCGTCTCATTCAAGTAATAATGAATTCAAAAATTATTGATTTCTTTTTCTCTCATATATCTGGGAATTTAATCTTCAAAGTCTTCAAATTATCACAAAATTATTTCTGTTATATATGTAGTCATAAAGGTTAGATTTGTGATAACTTCTTAGAAAGCGCTTTGTTGTTCAAAAAGCAAATGAACGCTTATGTCGTTATTTCAATTTCGGTTCTGTTTTCAATATAATGAATTTTATAATTAATAAAAATTCTTTCGCCATGAACCACGACCTCCTCTTGTCCTAAATCCACCTCTTCCTCTAGGTCTGTTACCTTTGAATCTACCACGGCCTAAAAATAGTAAGTAAAATTAATAATAATCATTAATATAATATATATATATATATATATA